CTGATCTTAAATCCCAGGTTCTCTCCCTGAGGGAGAACAGAAAGTCACCCGGGAAAGGTGCACTCCCCTTGGTCAAGGGCACACGGGCTCATTCCTCACACCTCAGGAAATCCTCACCAACCAGTCTTCTTCCACCCAGGGCCTCCCCATGAGAATCACAACCCTCAGGGACCACTGAGACCACAGTCTTCCCCAAGACTGAACATATTTCTACCCCTCAGCATCCTTTGCTTTCACTTCTCCTCTGCTCAGAGCTTGGACCTGCGAGACATTTTCTTTGAAATTCATTTCTATTCTTGTCAAACGAAGCACAGAGTACTTCTCTAATCAGGTTCCCTCTACACGGGGGTGCAGAGAAGCCGATTTCCAGGTCCGCCATCTCATTCCACTGGTGACGCAGAAGGCTAAGACCCTGCAAAGAATTCCTCGCTCCAGTACTGAGCTTGTTCATCTGATCAGGTGACATCCAAGCAGTAGCAACAGCACCTGCATGGAAGGTAGACAAGCAGGACTGCATATGAACACACAATGCATTGCTGAGAACGTGTTTGAAAGTCCAATGAATACATTTCAAATAACAGACATAAGGGAAGTGTTGATCCCAGAGACCAAACAGAGGTTTCAAAGTTCTCATTCAAAATTCTTCTTTTGCCCAGGCACCCCTGCTGATAGGTAGGAACCTTCACAGGCCCTCTGAGCAAGAAGCAAATGCTGGGGTGCAAGGGGGTCAGCCAAGTCTCAGTTATCTTCTCTGACCTCATGGCCGCCCCACCCCGCCGTGTGCAGGAGTTGGGTGGAGTTTGGAGGTTTTCGTGTGCTCTCTGGGGCTGGGGCTTCAGCAGTGTCCTATGAGACTCAGCTGCTGCCACAGGAAGGAATCGGAAAACACCCCCTGCCTCTGACTGAAGTCACATAACTTCACATACTTGTGGGGGGCCAGCAAGTGAAACTATATCATGTGATCATTTGAAATGCTAGCTGCACGGAGATACACAAAAGCTTGAATTCTGCACATGAAAGGGAGTTCAGCGTCAGAGTGGAAGGGTTGGTAGTATATAGTCAGGGGCTTGGAGGTTAAGGAGAACCTCTGGTGAACAGCTGTAGCCTCTCTCATGATCTTACTACCTTGTCATTTAATGGTTCCCTTCTGGCTTGGTGTCTTGGTCTGTTCGGGCTGCTATAACAAAACACCACAGACTGGGTGGCTTATAAAGAGCAAATTTATTTCTTACAGTTCTGGAGACTAGGAAGTCCAAGATCAAGGTGTCAATAGACTCGGTGTCTGGAAACGGCCTGCTTCCTTGTTCACAGATGGCCATCTTCTCACTGCATCCTCACATGGCAGAGAAGCCCAGCCAGGGAGCTCTCTGGGGTCTGTTTGATAAGGGCAATAATCCCGTTCATGAGGGCTCCACCCTCATGACTTACTCACCTCCAAAAGGCCCCACCTCCAAATACCATCACATTGGGGATTAGGTTTCAACGTGTGAATTTTGAGGGGACACAAATATTCAGACCATAACACTTGGTATGATGGGGTTGGAAAGCTAGAGGCCGACTTAACTTTCCTCTATGGCTAAAACATTACTAGAATGCAAAAGACATAGCAATAATAGAAATGCTAACAGCGGCATTTAAAGAGTAGTTTGTGTCAGGCATTTTGGTAAACACCACAAATACATAGTTCTATCCCAGTTTTATAGGAGACGATACTGACTTTCTCAAGGTCCTCATGTAGCTGATGGTGGAACAGACACACATACTCAGGCAGGTCTGTGTACTTTTAGCCAGTAGGCTACCCTGTCGGATTACAGAATTCTCTCCTCTTTAAGATTTTAGGCCCTGCTCCTCTCTGGCTATCAAGTGAAACAATATGGGATGATTATATGGAACATCAGAAGCTTGCAGGTTCATAAATCAATTTTCCCTAATAAAGGGAGTATCTTTTGCCAACTGAGTTTCAACTTGTTCTTTCAATTGTCAATACACTCAGGTGGTAGGCATGATTTCTGCAGAGCTGAACAGGGAGCTTAGCGATGGCAGCCCGCTGTACCTGTGAACCAGCTGTACCGGGAAGACTGTCTTCGCTGTGTTACGTTTGCTTATAAACTACCCATGGAACAAACCCAAGAGAAACCTCTCTTCTGTCTCTACCCAAAGGGCTGGCAGTCCCTCTGCCTTTCTGAGCACTCCTACAAGAGTCATCTTAGTGTGGAAAGTGTTTCCTTAATACAGCTGCCCTCCAGTACTCTGCCCCTCAATGGATTGGAGAAAGGTTCTGGGGCAGGACATCTCTTAGATTGCAGACGGGCTTTCACCAGGCTAGCTGCACCATCCTTTGCTGCTCCCTGATACTCCCGGGCCAGGCCTGCCTGCTTTTCACTCCATCTAACTCTTGATTTCACTGGCACCTCAAGGAAGGAGACGGGGACAATAGTAGAGGCTGAGGCCAGGTTAAATTGAGGGAGCTTTGAGGGAAACAGAGATTAACTAGCCATTGGCATGTGCCAATCAAAAAACAAGTCTACAACAGAAAAATCATCCTGGGAAGAGACAGCAAAAGAACGCTTCTGAGGAATGCTTTAGAAAACATAAGATCTGGTACTTCATTCTGCAACTCCTGATTTACATGCACTTATTGCTGTCGAAGGCCCAGCTGAAGAGGTTAAGTGGCAAATCTTTTTCCTGATCAACACGAGCAATTTTTCCCTTTCATATTCATTTTTTAAACTATTGTAAACGCATTTCCACTTTCAACTGCTCTACTAACTGAACACAGCACATTTCTCATTCTTTCATTTAAGAATGGGGAGTGTCAATGAAACTGAATTAAACTATCATCTTTTGGGGGTGGTCAACCTATTTATAATTTGTATAAACTAAATATAAAGTGCATTTCAGGCTAAAGGCATTGAGCTTCATCTGGCAAAAAATGATGAAGTATCAGCTAATTCATTTCAAAACAAACACAATATAGAAAGAACAGTGATAAACTTTAATCAAATTAAAGTCAAGAATATAAAGATTCTGGCTCAATTTTTCTTTAATTTCCCCATATCACTTATTTTCCTACTGTCTTTGCTGAATTTTAACAGCCTCTATGATTACAAATAAAAAATACACATCCGTAAGTTCTTAGACACCATTTAAAAACCCAAAGTGTCAATGCCAAATTTTTGATTTTAATGAAAATTCTGAACATTAAATGACACTGCTGCATTTACAATGCTGATTTTTAAAAGCTATCTGAAAATAAAATACAGTAAAATTATTGCTTCCAAAGTTATGCTGACATATGTATACAAGGCAGAATTGAAACAATAGCAAGCTGCATGAAAGCAGTTACATAACCAATCTTTATACCTTCTTTTGTCATTTTACACACCTCCACAAAGCTATCATGTTATGGTCCTTATCTTGAAAGGGATGTCTTGCCGTCTAGATACTTAAATTCTATCCATGTTAAGATACATCCTGAGGATATTAGTGTGTTTACCCATAGGAATGACTTTAATTTTGCATGTTAAGCAGTACAATACACACTTGACAAACCTCAGTGTGAAAGTCTATAGGCATATTACTTTGCCAGATAATACAAAAAAAATTCACAATGCAAAACCAAGAGTATTTATTCTCATTATTTAAAAAAAAAAAAGCAACACTTATTTCACAATCCCTGGAACTGTAAAACAGCCATTCTTTTCATTTACAGAATTGAGGGAAGTATTTTAAATGTCAAAACACACATGCTGAATGTGACTTAGCGTATCAGCACCAAAAATCTGAAAAGTTTACAAAAATTGTTTAGATGTGTAAGGTGCATTTATTCATGAATTACATTCAGTTTGAGGGAAGAAACAGTACCCCCAAACTCACTGATATTTAAGAAACAGCTGAATAACTTCCACCTTGGTTTACAGCAAAATAAAAAATACTGACTTTAGTTTTTCTTATATAAGTTATCTAAAATTTAGATCCAAAATTGAAGTGCTGCCTTTTACTGGGAATAGCAGTTTGATTGTTACATTTTTTATGTTCAAGATACTTCACACACAAGAGATATTTAATGCCCTAAAAATATTTTTAAAACTTGAGTCATTTTGTGAACATCTGAAGTTAAGAAAAGGTAGATCTCTTATATTTTTATGTAGAATTGGGTATAAAGTCATTGTGTGTCACATAAAATTATTTTTTTAAACGGTATCAGTCCCCATCAGCAATCAGGACCTTTCTAAATATGTCGTTATCTTTTCGGGCAAAAATTACTCTTACGAAGTTAGATGAAAGTAAATACAGAATTTCTTGGTTTACAATCCAAACTTATTGTGACATTAAAACATGCCTCTTTCCAAACCACTTGGTCATTGCTGATGACACTTAAATAAGGAAAACTTAGGCCAGTATTGCTCTAACTATACTGACATGCTGTCCTGAATGGCCTACCAAAGCTGGGGAAGGGACTTGGCCTGGTTCCTCAGCTCTGCGGAGTTGCCCGCCCCCACCCCCCCACCCCCGCCGCGGTCTCACTCTATAGCTTATGCAAAATCAACTCGTGCACACTATTAACTCAAAATCCAGCAAGCTACAGCCCTGATGCACCTACATTCATATATTTCCTCTTTACTGTGTACATTAAACGAAGAATTCTGTTGTGCTTTTCACATATTTGATACAAGTTTTCATATTTTATTTCTAGGTTTCTTGGGACGGAAAGAGAAAGACTAAGAAAAGAAATACAACAGGGGAGTCAGACTGTAAAGTAACATTACACACACAACTAGCCCAATATCTTTTTTTTTTTTTTTTTGCGGTACGCGGGCCTCTCACTGTTGTGGTGTCTCCCGCTGCGGAGCACAGGCTCCGGACGCGCAGGCTCAGAGGCCATGGCTCACGGGCCCAGCCGCTCCGCGGCATGTGGGATCTTCCCGGACCGGGGCACGAACCCGTGTCCCCTGCATCGGCAGGCGGACTCTCAACCACTGCGCCACCAGGGAAGCCCCCAATATCTTTTTAATTTAAAAGATACTACCATCAAAAGGTCATATATATATATAAAAGAAAACAAAGTCTCCTCCCTAAAATCCATATTATTCCATGATAGATTTTTCACAGCGACTAGTATATATATCAATACATTTTCCAAATCTGTTTAGTTATCCATTGTGTAATGCTTTTAGAATTAAAAGACGCCATTATCATCGCAGTCTAAACATTGTACCATTACGGAGATGTGCTTAGAAATGGTTCAGTGATTTGCTCATCATGATGATTATTTACAAAGATGTCTATTTACGTTAGCAATAAATAATCCTGATATCAAAAGAGATAATGGTCATGCACACACCGAGATGGCTGCATGCTCTTAAAATATTTACATGTAGTTTTTCGGTTAGGGCTTTCCCATTAGCAAGTGAAAGTATGGTCCCTTCAATTTTCTCCACTTCAGTCTTGCTTCTGGGGGATGCATCCTTCCATTTCTACAACTTCAGGCCATCCTTCATATTTGTTTGTGTCCTTATTGTTCTTTATGTGCTGTTGGAACACAATCATAGTATACAGTTTTTAAACTTTAGTGAACTGCATATCTGCAATAACATACTTATGTGTACTCACTTCAGTAACACTTCTATCAACATATAATTTATTGTTCAATATATTAAATGAGCAACACTTGGGATCTGGCATGTAGTAGCAGACCTTCAAAGAACAGCTGAAAGAACAAAACACTGCAGATGGTCTTTAAAGGATCATTTGTTAGTCAAAAGTAGGTTTACATTCTACTAAGTTCTAAAATATTTCTAAACTTAATTGATTACAGTAACAAAAGTTCAATTAAAATCTTTAATAACCAACTTCCTAAAAGGCTTAAGATAAAACTAATCATATGCCAATGCATTGTCATGTAGGAAAAAAATTTTCATGCAGAACTGACTATTTTTAAGTTTAAAATCAAAATAGTGCCACAGTTATTTCAAATACTTGATTACCAAGAACCTATGAAAAACACATGAACATATTTAATGTCTGCTTTATCTAAGTTTCAAATAACTGGGATAGCAATAGGCACTGCATGGTTTCACACAACTGCTTTTGTCCATTAATTATGAAAGCCTAAGACACTAACCTGTTCAAAAGGGCTTTTTGTCTTAATGCCTTTTCCACCACAGAAGACCCAGTTGTCTCTAAAACCAAGATGAGTAATAGATGTACTCCCCAATTCAGCAATGAGCTGCCGGGCCTCATCATTGAGTCTTAAAGAGGGAGAAAAAGAATAATACAATAAATGTAGTGCCCTGCATGTTATTTAAGTAATACTGATACAGTTAGGATACTTAACATACAACCATGAAATGAATGAGAGAATGCTGGCTTAGATAAGAGAACATAAAAATAATTTTTTATCAGAGTAACATTCCTACTATTTGAGGTTTTTTTTTAATGAATTTTTTTTTTTTTTGGCTGTATGGGGTCCTCGTTGCTGTGCACGGGCTTTCTCTACTTGCGGCGAGCAGGGGCTACTCTTCATTGTGGTGCGTGGGCTTCTCATTGCGGTGGCTTCTCTTACTGTGAAGCCTGGGCCCAAGAGCGTGCGGGCTTCAGTAGTTGTGGCTCGCAGGGTCTAGAGTGCAGGCTCAGTAGTTGTGGTGCACAGACTTAGTTGCTCTGAGGCATGTGGTATCTTCCTGGACCAGGGATCGAACCTGAGTCCCCTACACTGGCAGGTGGATTCTTAACCATTGTTCCACCAGGGAAGTCCTATTTGAATTCTTTAGTGATGAAAGCCATGAAATCTAGAAATTAATTTCAAGTTCATGCTATTTAGAAGTACCTTTTCGGTGTCTTTATTTCACAACAACAATTCATTTTCATTTACATCCATCAAATAAATAAGAGAAACTGTAGTCAGCAGGTGCCTATTCAGGTTAATCCAAGATCTTAAGCAACCAACATCTTTGTAAAATTAAAAATCACTTTGAATCTCCACTAAACCCTTTGTAAATTACATTTGAATAGAATAAAGGTAAATGCTGATAGAAATTTGGATGTTTCTAACACCAGATGTTTTATTTAAAAGAAAGTGAATTTTGAGAATAGGGATATAAATTCTACTTCAGAGACAACTGCCAAGTGGTTATTTAATAAAAATGAAAATATTAACGACATAGCGGCTAAGAAAGGGCAGTGACAAAAGGCAACTGCTAGGGAAACAGCTAACTGAAAGATGCCTTTAAGGAATTTTGTGTAGGTTCTTATCCTAATGTTGAGTGATCCTCCATCTCTCCTCTGTCTCAAAAGGGAGAAGAAATTCAGAAGATACGTGCTGTTGTAGAGCCAAAAAAAAAAACAACACAAAAAGATAACTAAGGGACACCTGTGCAGGTATCTGGCCAGTAAGTCCTCTATATCGCCCAAAAGATGGCATTTATAGGTCAATTAGAGAGGTTTGTTCTTCTAAAATCTGAGGCAAGGCAAGTTTTATGTTTGCAAATAAGTGGAGGATCATTGGCTGCAAAATAGCAGGAGGGCCAGTGAGGAAGGCGCCTGTTTATCCTGCAGCCTTATTTGAAGCATCCCATGCTAATATCAGCTGGCTCCTTTAATGTATAAATGAAAGAAATATGAGGCGCAACAGTTCTAATGTAATTTACTTGAAGATAAACGGTATACTTTATGTTAAAAAAAGCTTCATAAAACAGGAAAGAGCTACATATGTTATTAGCCTTCCACAATTATACAAACCACATCCATGGGGCAGTGGAGCTGTTTTAACCATAGCTTGGGCACTGCTGTCCTCCTGGGGGAAGTTCACTAGAATCAGTGAGAAAAATCAGGGGCACCCTGGAATATTTAGCCTTTCAGACTCATCTATATAAAATGATGTCTTTATAATCAAGGGAAATAAAAATAAATGAAATGGCTGTGCAGAAGGACCAATGAAGTCTCAGCCTCTGAAGATTTTGAGACCTTCACAGAGAACCACGTGTACCACCGTCTGGCTTTCTCCCCAAAGTCTGTCTGCAGCTGTGTTTCCTGTACCCGTCCTTACGTGAATTAGCTATCACTTCCATTCATCTGCTCACGTGATAAGCAACTTGTATATTAGAGGGACATTCCCAGAAAGTATTGTCTGAACCCTGTTTTCTTGTTTCTAAATCGTGTTAGGAGGTTATGGATCTGCAGACTGTCATATTCTAATCCTTAGTTTATCCAAATGTTTTATTTCTGGCTCCTTAATTAGAACATTTTACCTGCATCATCAGTACTAGTAGTGAGTTTTGCTGCTTTATCGAGAACAAATGGTGTTGAAGTACAGAGGTCAGGCTTACTGGGCAGCGTAATGACAACCTCCTGGAGGAAAGCCTCAGGGCTTGATTCAGTTACATCTCAGAAAAATCACAAATTGCACCTCACAGGCTTCGGGGCTGCTCATGAATAGCTGAATGTTATAGGTTCACAAATGCCAAGAGATTGCTTCATACACAAAAACTGCTTGCAAGGTAGGTGGTTATCCAAATGCAGGCCTGGCCCCCAGCCAGAAGTACATAAATTTTTTTCTTATCTAAACATTTTTACATCAATTAAATACATTGAAGGGCAGTCATTTTTCCTTCTGTACTTCTAAATTTCCGAAGTGGTCATTTTGATCTGTATGAGTAAACTAAGCCAATTTAGCCAAAGATCTAGAAGCAACTTAAAACTTAGCTTTGCATTTTGATCCTGTTATTAATCTTTCCTTACTTTTCGATGAGAACAAACACCCTTAGGTCCTGTGCAGAAAAGGGTTAATACAGGCCTTAGAAAGCCCTAACAGCAAGACTGGTCCTTGGCTGGCATCTGGAAACTTGGATTTGGGGAGGCTCCCCCCATTCACAGAACTGATCAGAATGGTTCACTGTGTCTAAACTGTACAAACAGTAGTTTATGCTGAACACCTACTTTCTGTCTGGGAGTCTGGAATTTTGGGATATGTAAGGCGGAGGGTGCCTCCATGACCAGCTCCCAGTAAAAACCCTGGGCCATGAGTCTCTAATAACCTTCCCTAGTGGACAGCATTTCATAGTCTTGTCACAATTTGTTGCTGGAGGAATTAAGCATGTCCTGTGTCACTCCACTTGGGAGAGGAACTCGAGCCTGGCTTCCTCCAGACTTTGCTCTCTGCTAGCTCCCCTTTGCTGATTCTGCTTTGTATCCCTTTGCTGTAGCAAATCATAGCAGTGAGTGAGCAGGTCTGTATGCTGGGTCCTGTGACGCCTCCCAGTGAATCATCAAACCTGGGGGTGGTCTTGGGCAGCCCTGCCGCATGTCCCTATGTATATCTAACTATAGATTTAGAACAAGACAACTTTCTCAATAATTTCTAAAGTTTTCTAAATCTGCCTATGTAGAATCTGGGGGATTTTTATTATTCCTTTTTGATATCTTTTATGTAACTAAGTGAAAGATGATTTCATGTTTTAAAAAGAAGTTTAAAACCATGCAACACAACCAATATTTTGAGCGTTTGATACAGTAGGTATCAAAATGCTCCATTTCTTTAAAAGGCAGTGTAGTGTAACTAATATATTTATACACAGCATTAATTTTGGAGATACAACTGACCCTTGAACAACATGGGTTTGAACTCCCTGAGTCCACTTACATTGTGTGATGGGTTCAAACTGAGAAAAGGAAGTGTGCAAAAATACAAGGCACATCATGCTACTAATGATAAAACTTTTAATACTACTACCAGGAAGACCTGAGTGCTCAAACTGAGATGCGACTCATACAACTACTGAAGGCCACAGAGAGAACTTTTGCTAAGTACAAATAATGAAGGGACCACTGTTTCACAAGAATGATAAAATATCAAGATCAAAGCACAACTGTCTTTTCCAGGGAGGCAAACACTCTTCGATCAACATAAAAAGGGAAAAGTAGTTCAGGAATGTCCATATTAAGTGCTTTAAAATAAATTTAAGCCTCCAGGCCCACACATGTCACACACTTAAATTCTTAAGGAACTTATTAATAAAGTCTTCAAGGTCATGTCGGTTATTTTAGAAGCATCATGGAAAATGAAGATGCTAAGACATTAAAAGTTAGTTAAATATTCCAGTTTTCAAAAAAGACAAGGAAAATTTTAAAAACAATGGTCCAATAAAACTAATTCTAACTCCTAGCAAAATTCTAGAATGGAGTAGAAATTTTAGAATGGATCTCCTGTGAGTAGTACACAAAGAAGAAGAAAAGAAAGAGAGGAAGGGCTTCCCTGGTGGCGCAGTGGTTAAGAATCCGCCTGCCAATGCAGGGGACATGGGTTCGAGCCCTGGTCCGGGAAGATCCCACATGCTGTGGAGCAACTAAGCCTGTGCGCCACAACTACTGAGCCTGAGCTCTAGAGCCCACGAGCCACAGCTACTGAGCCCGTGAGCCACAACTACTGAAGCCCGCACGCCTAGAGCCCGTGCCCCGTGACAAGAGAAGCCACCGCAATGAGAAGGCTGCGCACCGCAACGAAGAGTAGCCCCTGCTTGCCGCAACTAGAGAAAGCCCGTGCGCAGCAACAAAGACACAACGCGTCCAAAATTTAATTAATTAATTAATTTTAAAAGAGAGAGAGAGAGGGAGTAGCCGGAAGGAGGCAGGAATAAATAAAGCCAAGTTAACATCATCTCATATATTTCAGATTTAGAAGAGGTTTTGGGGCAGTAGATCAGGGTACTATAATTAGCATCGTTCATGAATTTCAAGTGAGTATCTGATGGTCTCAGAAAATAAAATAATTAAACAGCAACTGAATGGTATGCCTATTAGGATACAGTGGAAACTGTCTGAAAAGTAGTTCTGCAGTTGATGACTAGATGAATCCCTTGGAGGCGGCCTCCAGCTGGTGGCACACTGCCTGTAGTAAACATGTTTGTCAATGACTTAGATTTAGACACCTGAATGACTCTGGAGAGAGTACGAAGCCTGGGCCATAGAAACCTCATAGGACAAATGTCAGAATCGAGACCAAGTGGGCCAATAACAGCAAAATTAAATTTAACAAGGATATATGAATATAAAGTCCTTTATTCATATTAAGCAAAAGCAAGTTCTGAAATGGGGAGGAAGACCTGACTTGGCAGTGGTTTAAAAAAAAAAAAATCTGAGATCAAATGAGAAGATCTGAGAATTTAAGTTGACCAAAAATGTGATGTGACTCTGCCAAAAGAAAACGAATGCAACACCAGTCTCCATGAGAATTAAATGTAATTTCTCAAACTTGGTGAGCTAGCATCTCCATTGTACCCTGTACTGGCCAGACCACATCTGGGAACACTATGTCCAACTTGGGGCACCATTTTAAGAGAGACAATAATCACCTAGAGAATGCCCAAGAAATGCAAGCAGGAGGGTAAAATGACCTAGAAACTTAACATATTAAAAGGTTAAAAGAGCCATTACAGCTTTAAAGTGTGTTCACGGAACACACTTTGGGAAATGCCATAAAAAAATGCTACTGAAGAATACTGTCGTCAGAGACAACTATATAGTTGTTAAAAACAGAACATAAAAGATTATAACAAACTTCATGTACAACGTAATTCTAATTTCACAACAAGGTATCACGATAAATACAAGAAAGAAGAAAGCAAAATAAAAAAATGTTAATGGTGTTTACCTGAAAGTTGGATTACTTTGCTCTATATCATAAATGTTTTCATTGAAAATGTATTTCTTATATTATTATAAATTATAACTCTGAAAAGTTGCATAAATTTTTAAGTTTACATACTTGGTTGCTCCATCATCATATGTTCCCATTAAGACTATTGTTCCATCTTGTATGGCCTTCAGAAACTCAATAAATGGGGCCACATCTGAAAAAAAAGAAAGGGTTGAGGGTTGGTTTTTTGGGTATTTTTTTAAATGACTGAGTAAACATCATGATAATCTCTTAAAAGTTAGTAATATAAAAAATGAAGTTCTTGTAAATCAATAATTTGTAACGTAGAGTAACCAAAAGAAAGACAAATCTTACGAACAGGTTAAAAATTAAGTTTCCCATCAACTTAAAATTTCCCAATCCTGATTCATCCTGTATGTTTTTTATACTGATATTCCAGGGGCTAAATGAAAAAACCATAGCAAAGTCATATTAAAGCATGACTTATAAATTAAAGTAAGAAATTTAGCAGAGCAGGAGAAAGGCTCATGGACTCCCTGAGTACATGGCAAATTGCACAGATACTTTCCTAAAAATGAAGACAGAGAACTTTTATTTAATGCACAAAAGGATCTGTAATTTTAAAAAATTATATAAATATGTATACATTTGACCCCAGGGGTTTGAACTCAGGAGTCTACTTATACGCAGATTTTTTTCAATAAATACTACAGTACCACATAACCCACACTTGGTTGAACCCGTGGATGCATAACTGCAGATATGGAGGACAAATTATGGAACTTGAGCATATGCAGATTATGGGTTATCCGTGAAGGGTCCTGGAACCAGTCCCCTGCAGGTACAAGGGACAACTGTATACACACACACACTGATTTAAAGTAACTCCTGGGCATATCTACTTACTGTAAACTAGGGGAAGGAATGTAGGTTAGTTATCACTAAAAGCCAAACTAATTAAGGTAAATATTGCAGTCTTTACCTGCTTCATCTAGTATATCAAGATTCAGAAGGGCTTAAACACCACTCCAGTGACAATAAACTGATGATGCCAAAGAGGCTGATCAGGTACTGCAAATCATTCTACATCTTGAACTCCTTACAACGTCAGGTTTCCTTACAGCCCCCAAGTATAATACTACTTCAAAACTGGGTTCCTTCAAATCTACTCAGCTTCTTTCCACAGCAAAGATCCCAAAGATTTTCTCTAACTGAATTCTATCTTAAAATAACAGCATTTTTAATTCAGAAAAAAATGTAACAGAGCAGCTAACAAATCACTTCGATTTAAATCCAAAGATGGCAGTAATTTACAACTTCTTCTTAATTTGAGGAGTATTTTTTTAGCAGTAGTTAATCCACCTGAGATGAAATACCAGAGCTTCTGGTCACATGACTGATTTCGACAATAGTTTTATAAGAGTTTTTCCATGCAATAAATTTTGGTAGAACCAATTACGCCTTTAGAATCTAAACTGGTGGTACATTTTAAGTTTACACAGTTTTGACAGCTATGCAAAGTTCTTCTGATCTCATTTAAAAAATAAATAATACATGCATTATCTCATTACAAGCTGAAGAAATATTAGGAAAGCTGAATGCTCTGAAAACAAGATAAATTTCAGGAAGCCTAACAACTGCTGGCTTCCAGGGAATATACAAAGCGGATGAGAATGGGGAGGTGCAGGGGAGAGCCTCGACTAAGAAAAGAATCAAAAGATAAATCAGTGCTGGCCTTCCTTCTCTCAGGCACATTCTTCTTCGAGGCGCCAGTTCCTTCCCTCTGCATGCTGGTGACTAAATTCCACCTGCTCCTTGAGGAACTTCCAAATTAGGAAGATTATCTGTGGATTGTTCTTAGTCCAGTAAACCAGAAAGGAAATTCCATTCCTTCTCTCAAATATTCATCTACTTGAATATAATCTTGGTTATAAACTTAGTTTTGAGACTGAAAAATCATATGAAATCAATTCAGTCAGCTAAGAATGCTTACACTGGTTATGTCCGTCTTCAAATTACTTATTCTTTTTTTTAGAAATTTCAGGCAGAAACCTACAAGAGCCCGAAGCTTTGAATTAGTTGTCCTGCAAAAAGTAGGACTCAGATTTTTTAAAATCTCAGTTGTGATATTATTGCTCTTAATTACACATCGCCAACAATTTTTATAAAAAGCAAAGTGTATGCAGTATGACTGATCACTTAAATACAGCTAGACATTCAGTAAAAAGAAAGAGTAATAAAATGAACTAACACAAAATTAGTACCATTATTTTCTCATTAGTGGGCTACATTATATTGATGTGATTCAGTGCCAGCAACAGAACACTTATATGTTATTCATACTTACTTCCTCCCCACATGTCAAAATATCTGGTGTCTATTAGATCTCCTGTTTTTCCTGAAAGAGATTGAATTCATAGCAAATTATGCAACTGAAATATACTCTACACTATATAAGACAAATGATCTTATCCAATGATTGATGTGAATTCATTAGCAGAGAAAGAATTATTATGACAAGTACTTAAAATTTGAACTGTATGCATCTGAAAATTTTTTCTAAAAGGGTATTTTTTGAATAGGACTTTCTCACTAATCCTGTAAGCTGAAGAGTAGCAAACAGAAGTTCACTATTGACTGTAGACCATTCGAAGTTGTATATTTTTCATCCATATGTGTTACCATCTTCCCTTATTTTAAAATTACCCCAAAATACATAAATCTTAAAAAAAAAAACATGAATCCATGCTATTTTCTATTGCCAAAGCCATCTTTCCAAAAAATTATATTTAATTCCCTTTGAAAAAATTTTTTTTGCTATCAATTAAATAGACAAATACGTATAGAACATTTTATAGCTAAGAAAATGAAGAAAGTAGAAACACAAAAATGTATCTCTTGTGAACGAAGTAAACAATATTTTCCTACACTGTGAACTGGAGAAGGTGGCTGTGGTTTATAATCACTCTATACAGATTTACAAGGGTGACTGTCCCAGAAAGAGAAGACGAGTATGCAGTTGAGTCTCACTTCATGGGTTCATATTTTCAGATGTGATTTTGCAAGAACACTCGAGATGTTCAGGATTCAATGTGGACGATACTGAAAAATTACAATCGACTCCTACTCTTCACTCAGCCCCACACCCCATCCAGTAGTCCACCACGCTCTGTCATTCTCTAAACCCTCATTCACGTCCATCTATATTATGTTAGGATTCCAAAATCTGCAGCAAGGATTCATCAATTTAATGTTAGATTGGTTGTATCCTGACAATCTCATGGGAAGTTCTCTACTCACTGGACAGCAAGCTGGATGCTTCCAAGAAAGCACGCTATAAATACTGAGATGCAGAGTCTCGACCTACAGTTGGTGTTTTGGGAGGGTGTGGGGAGGGCTTTATTGTCAAGCCTGGCTCTTTCTCACCTGATCTCTTGATATTAGAGTGCATTTTACTTTGGGACATATGAATATCCACTGAGTATATTCATAAGCTAAAATAATTATTCTTACCATTTACCAAGGCAACATTGATCCCTCTTCCAACATTATTCTTAACACCACTCATTAAACTGAAGGGGGAAAGTCAAGACAAATTTAGAATTAGATACTGAACATAAACATACATTAAAGAAATAAAGCCATCCATGACAAAAAAAAAAAGTTGGGGATGTTATATATACGTACAATTGTTTAGTACTGCAGTGGAGACTGAAAGGTCTCTACCAAGTCAGAGAAGACAGTCTAACACTGAATAATTTTAAAGCAATGCTCTTAAATAAGATTTCATGAATAGAAATATATATTACAAAGTATTAGTGCTGAAATACTAGGCTATTTCTTGCTGCTCTGTGTGTCAGGTTATGAAATACCATTTTAGAAAATCCTTCAAACATGTGGACATTATGCACATAGTCTGCACCATCCTCAAGGGAACAAACAAGGGTAACCTCTTTTCTACCTTCTACAATATCAGTGTGACATGAAACAGAAGCGAGATGCTACTAAAACTTTTTATAATCTGAGAGCAAGAAGAATTTAACTTAATTGTGAACATTCTCTTAGTGATTACCAAGGCAAAGTTTCTCAATATCCAGAAGAAGGAATATTGTATTCATATAATTACTGCATCTAACCATAAGACTTGTAATGTCATTCTGCGGTAATCAACCACTAGCAGCTCACAGACCATGACATAAAGATAATAGATACTGTGAAACAGAAGGTATGAATAAAACATTTGCTTGTTATCAGTTCAGTTTGTTGAATTAGAATTATTAAACTAAAATTGTAGGTACCTTTTATTCTAAAAATTCACAGTGATGTGCTGTTCAATGATTAACAATCATTGAGGTTGGGTTGAGGTTGGTGGAGAGGGGGGAGTTGCATATGTGTGAACACACACAACCGTATTCGTATATGATACCATCTATCTATCTATCTATTCTTTATCCATCCATCAACAGACATTTAGATTGTTTCTATCTCTTACCTATTGTGAATAATTACATTCCCAACCAATGACGTAAGTTTAGTATAAATTTTACTGACAGAAAGGATCTGTAGCACACATTTTACAAATAATAAAATATATACTTTATTATAAATTTCACTTAGCCATTGATTCTCACAGAATGTGTTAGGCGATTTTCATATAACTCATCTGTGCTTAACCTATGGTTGCAAGTGATAAATGAGTAAAATTCTAATACAAAAGTTGGATGCTATTTCATTTAGAGTAAGACAAAGTAAGAAAAAGCTGAAACAGTGAGCAATAAAGACATATGTCTGTCAATGATGTGTGTGATGTTTTTGTTGAATCATGTAATAAGTTTTCAAATACGAGAAGACAATTTTCTCAAAAAAAAGAATAAAATGGCAGGCTTAAGCCCTAACATGTCAATAATTATAATAAATATAAATAGTTCAAACATATCAAATGAAAAGAGAAATTGGCCCAGTGGATTAAAATAAGACCCAACTACATGCTGTCTACAAGAAACAAGTAGAAACAACCCAGAAGTCCACAAACTAATGAATGGATAAAACGTGACATATCTGTACAATCGAATATTATTCAGCCATAAAAAGGAATGAAGTACTGATACATGCTATAACATGGATGAACCTTGAAAACACTATTCTAAGTGAAGGAGCTGATCACACAAAAAATCTACGTATTATATAATACTATCTCTACAGAATTTCCACAATAGGTAAATCTACAGAGACAGAAAGTAAACCTGGTGGTTACTTAGGGCTGGTCGGCTGGGAGGGGAGACGGAGAATGGGATGGGAATGGAACAGGAGGGCAATAGCTAAAGGACACAGCATTTCCTTCTGAGGTATGATAGTGTTCTAGAACTGACTGCGGTGATGGTTGCACACATCTCTGAATACACTAAAAACCACTGGCTGTATACTTTAAATGAATGTATTGTATGGTATATGAGCTGTATCTCAATGAAGCTATTTAAACAAAAGAAAGCAGGAGTGGCTATATTAACATCAATTAAAATACCAAGCAATCAAGATACAAAATATGTGAAGCAAACTCAGATAGAACTGACAGGAGAAACAGACAAATCTACAATTACAGTTGGACATGTCAATACCCCTCTCAACAGCTGATAGACAGAAAGTTACAAAGGGTATAGAAGACCTCAACAGCAGCATTAACCAACAGGGTCTAATTGACATTTAAAGAACATTCTACCCAACAACAGCAAAATACACATTCTTTTCAAGTACCCATGGAGCATATACTATGACAGACCATATCATGGGCCATAAAGTAAACCTCAACAAGTTTAAAAGAATTGAACTCATACCAAATGTGTCTCTGACCACAATGAAATCAAAATCAAAGATAACAGGAAAATCACCAAACACTTTGAAACTAAGCAATATATGTCTAAATAATCTATGGGTCAAAGAAGTCTGAAGTGAAATTAAAAAACACATTGAAAACACAGCTTATTAAAATTTGTGAGGCATAGCTAAAAGAGTACTGAGATTGAGGAATTTATAGCACTAAATGCTCACATTTAAAAAGAAAGTTTCAAATTAATAACTTAAGCTCTCATCTCACAAAACTAAAAAGAAACCTAAAGCAAGCAGAAGAAATTAAAAAGAGCAGAAATCAAGGGAACTGAAAAGAGAAAAATAGAGAAAGATCAATGAAACAAAAAGCTGGTTCTTTGAAAAGGTCAATAAAATTAACAAACCTTTAATAAGACTGACAGAGAAAAAAAAAAGACACAAATCACCAATATCAAGAATGAAATGGGGGACTTCCTTGGTGGCACAGTGGTTAAGAATCCGCCTGCCAATGCAGGGAACACAGGTTCGATCCCTGGTCCAGGAAGATCCCACATGCCGCGGAGCAACTAAGCCTGTGTGCCACAACTACTGAGGCCGCATGCCACAACTACTGAAGCCCATGCACCCTAGGGCCTGCATGCCGCAACTGAATCCACACGCTGCAACCACTGAAACCCATGTGCTCCAGGGCCCATGCTCCTCCGCAACAGGAGAAGCCACCACAATGAGAAGACCGCGCACCGCAATGGAGTAGCCCCCACTTGCCGCAACTAGAGAGAGCCCTTGTGCAGCAACAAAGACCCAATGCAGCCAAAAAAAAAAAAAAAAAAAAGAATGAAATGGGATGTCCCTATAGACCCTGCACATAGCAAAAGGATAATAAAGGAATACTATGAACAACTCCACACATGTAAATTTGACAACTTAGATGAACTGGACCAATTCCTGAGCCAGTACAAACTAACACAACTCATCCATTATGAAACAGGTCATTTAAATAGTCCTATAACTATGAAAAATATTGAATTTGTTTATAAGCTCCCCCCACCTCCAAAATATCCAAAGCCCAGAGAGTTTCAGCGGAGACGTCTACCAAATGTTTTTAAAAAAAGAATTAACACCAACTCTACACAAACTCTTTCTAAAAACACAAGTGAAGGGTATACTTCTCAATTTATTCTACAAAGCCAGTATTACAGTGATACCAAAACCTACAAGAAAACATCAAACCAATATGCCTCATTAAAATACAGGCAAAAATCCTTAACAAAACATTAGTAAATGGAATTCAGCAGTATATTTTTAAAAAATTATCATAAGCCACGACTAAGTCAGGTTTAGTCTAAGGATGAAAGGTTAATTATTTGAACAGTTAATGTAATCCACTATATATTAACAGGCTTAAGAAAAATCACATGATCGTCTCAATGCAGAAAATGCATCTGACAAAATTCAACACCCGTTCATGATAAAAAGTCTCAGAAAAGTAGTAATACAGGGGAACTTCCTCATACTGATTAAAAAAAAAAAAAAAGAAATCTACAAAAAAACTACTGCTTAACATCATACTCAATGGTGAAAGGCTGAAAGATTTTCCTCTAAAATTGGGAACAAGTCCAGGATGGCTGCTCTCACCACTACTACCCAACACAGTATTGCAAGTCCTAGCCGACTTCCAAGAAAAGGAAATAAAGGCATATACATTGGAAAGGAAGAAAATAAAGCTGTCCCTATTTGCAGATGGCATGTTTGTCATCTGCATGTTTGGATAATCCCAAGGAAGCTACAAAAACAAAACCAAAAAACCTCTTGGAAGTAATAATTCAGCAACATTACAAGATACAAGATCAACATATAAAAATCAATTGGGTGTCAGTATACTAACGAACACAAGGAAACTGAAATTAAAAACACAATGTCATCTATGATTGCTCAATAAAAGGGGGGATGCTTAAGTATAAACCTAATAAAGCATGTGTAGGACCTTATGCTGAAAAACACAAAATGGTGATGAAAGAAGATATAAATAAATGAAACATGTCACACTCATGGACTGAAAGATTCAACATTGTAAAGATGGTCAATTCTCCATAAATTAACATATAGGTTTAACAAAATTCCTAACAAAATCCCTGCAAGGTTTTCTGTAGATAGAGGTAAAATTATTCTAAAATGTCATATACAAAGGCAAAGAAACTAAAGTAGCTAAAAACAATTTTGGAAAAAAAAAAAAAAGAGTAAAGCTGTAGGCATCATTCTAGCTCATTTCAAGACTTATTCCATAACTAGTATAATCAACAGCATGTAGTATTGGTGGAGGAATAGATATACAGATCAATGGAACAAAGAAAGAATTAAGAAGTGGACCAGTGGAACCAAGAAATGTACTAGTGGAAGTATGGCCAACTTATTTTTTAGCGAAGGAGGAAAAGCAAGTCAATGGAGAAAGGATAGTCATTTCAACAAACTGTAATGAAGCAAGCGGATATCCACAGGCCAAAAAATTGACCCTTAATCTGAATCTCATACTTCATTCAAAACTTAATGTAGAATGGATCACAGATTCATATGTAAAACAGAAAGCTATAAAAATTTTAGAAGATAATGTAGAGAAAAATCTTTGAAATGTAGGGCTTGTTGAAAAGCTCGTAGGCATAACACCAATCCATAAACAAACAATAAAGCATAACCCATAAAAGAAAAACATCAATAAATTAGACTTTATTAAAATTAATAACTTTGGTTCTGC